AGTTTTTCCAATTCATTCTGTTTTCGCAGACGTGTGATTTGGGGGATCCTTCTGCTGTGAACACAACTACCAGCGAAACAATCATCCAATTTACACCACAATGCCCGTCTTGAAGGTGAGCATTATCAGCTTACTTCACGCTTAACGCAGCCCACAGGAATCACTACAAGATCCACGGATTAAAAAATTAGCATGTCGCCATGTGTCGATGTCAACGCCACCCCCCATTACATTAGGCAATTTTGAGTAAACGTTGAATTGGATTCCCTTAGGACGAGCCTTGCTAAAGAAGCATATTGTTTTGTGTGTGATAAGGACGTTTTACTGATCCCGTTGAATTTTTAAACTACATGTTATAACAGTGATAACTTTTCCGTCATTTTTAATAATTGCGACGAAGTCCACCATAACATAGTTATGTGCTATGATGCTAAATATTTCTCATAGTGAACACGGCGTGCAACATGTGGTATTTGTGCCCGATGGTTTCACAGTCGTTCGATACGAGGCTAAAAAACTGGAAGTTTTCCTTAAATAGTGAAGTGGTTTAGCTCCCAACCCATTAAACAATGCCTAATTGGGCAACAGTTCAATTCAACTCATAAGGTGGCTCTAGCATTGAGTAAATAAATACTAACGAAGGACATCAAACTGCTCTAGCCCTTCTGCGAATGGATAAGAACATTAGGACAGTTTCACCGGTCAATCCAAAGCGGATTTGTCACAAAATGACATGCTTAAAAAACTGCAACTAAAGAAAATAAAAATTAAAAGGCCATGCGCGTTTGGTGTGCGAAACATCTCTATCCCAAACTTCGGGAAGTTTTTAACTCATAGCATATTCTAGCAAAGTGAAGCAGGCAAATTTACCAAAAGAGGGTGCCTAGCGCGTCTAAGTTCGTCAAGTGGTCACGCAAAAAAGGGTAAGGTACACTGAGGTTAATTAAATGAACTGAGTGGTAACACACCAAAACCTAACCAACCAGCCACCTTCCAAAATGATGCCGGCAGAAGTTTCCTTCGTAGTCGCGGAACAAAACTCCACACTTCCAGGTTTGTCGACAGCGATTCGAGCTCGATCCGAGCTCGATTTGAGCACAATTAGGCTAAGGGTTAGGGGTTAGGATTAGAGTTATGGTTAGGGTCAGAGGTTAGGGTTAGGGTTACGGTAAGGGTTGGGGTTAGGGGTAAGTTTTAGGGGTTAGAGTTAGGGTAAGGGTTATGGTCAGGGTTAGGGTTGGGGTAAGGGTTAGGGTTATGTTTAGGGTAAGGGTTAGGCTTAGGATAAGGGTTAGGTTTATGGTAAGGGTTAGTGTTAGGTTTAGTG